CTCCTCCTCCTCCTCCTAGTCTCCTCCTTCTCCTCCTTACCGTACCCCTCTGGCTGTTAGAACCTTTCGGCCCTGCCCTCGCCTCGTTTGGAAGCAAAAGGGAGAAGGAACCCACCGACCCCGGTCCATCAGCTGGGGCGGGGGCCGAGGAAGCTGGCGTGCGCCTCGCCCCAGGCGGGAGGTGGTGCTGTCCGCGGTGCTGAAGTTGGGGATTTGCGGTGTAATCTTAGAACCCTGCTTCAACCCTGGCTGCCCCTCAACCCAGCTGCAGGAAGGAGAAGCCCCTCGCTTGGATTCGTTCTCTTTTCCTCCTCTCCTCCCCTTCAGATAGAGATGGTACAGGCTCCCGGAGCTCCGACCCCCCGGGAACCACAATCAGGCGTCCGACAGGCTGGTCTTCCGAGTGGTCCTAACACCAAGTGATGGAGCTCAACATCCCGACTGACTGGAGCCTCGAGGGAGGACTGCAGACGCCGCCACTGATGCAGATGTTTTAAATGTGTAATTAATTCACATTCATACATATGCACACTTATACATATGCACACATACACCAAAGAGCCTGCTGCTCCCAGGAAAACTACATGCAGGCAAACACGCACACAAACATACAATCACAAAACTGAAATAAACAAACAGGCATATGGACAACTACTTCAAGGCATCGGAGGCATTACAAGTACTGAAAATTAAGAAGGTCTAGAGAGACAGAGACTTTCTTTTAGCACTCAGATAATTTCAATGATAAATCTCAAGCTCTTTCCCCTATCTCACATCTCTTCACACTGTACCCTGTGAATTTTCCTACTGTGCAGTGTACATCAAGTGCTTGAATTTTTATCTCTGCAGATCCAATCCTGTCACTGACTTTACTGACACAATTAAGAATTATTGGTCATTTAAATATATAATGATGTTTAGGCAGAGGAGTAACCATGTCTTTCTATGTTATGCAATAATGAATAAGCATTTGCCTTTCAAGATAAATAAAATTTTTATGGAGACTTGCCTACTTCTGAAATAGATTCTGCACTTTTAATATTATGGTTGCCTTTTAGAAAGGTCTACTGTAAACTGTATTGTGTATTCTCTGCATAATTAGTACTGGTGTTAATGGGCCTGATTCAGCATTCTTTATTTGAGCTTTGTTTCTTATTGATTTAAAAGGATGCATTGTCCTAGTAAGAAGTGCAGATTGGGTAAAATCTGGAAAATGAAGAAACACATGGATGACCAACAGGGGAAAAACTGCATCCTCATGCTATAAACCATTCCTCCCATAAAATAGCACAGCGAAGCCATTCTTATGGATTATAAAATGCCCCTTTTCTATTTGAATTCCCACAGACTGTCAAAAGTCAATGAACACTTGCCAAAACACTCTGGTGCAGAACTACCATCAACCAATTGTAAGAGCTCAAAGAAACCAATCGTGGGGGGAAATGTTGTCAGAAAGCACAAGTTTTCAGAACAGTCTATTGTTTAACTAAGTCTCTGTATTTTAACCATTGCATTAAACTCCACAGAAGTGGTATTAAAGTATTTTAATAGAATAAAAAAGAAGCAACAATTGAAAATATTACCATTTCACTACCTCAATGAATGACATTAAGAGGTACACCAAGCATATTTCAAATAATTCTTAGGGTACTAAGAAAAAATGAAATAGACACAACTACTTAATTTTTTAACAAAAGGGGACATATTGGTGATTTATTTTTGTTCTGTGAAAGTCTTTTTGATTAAGTTATAGCATTTATCTTAGTAAGTAAAACCAAACAAAGCACAATGGGATAAAAGTTCCTTTTAATGACAAATGTAACCTCCTTCTATCACTGTGCTGTATACTGAGGGCCTTTTTTCATACCAGTGTGACTCAAGAAAGTACCTTCATCAGTTGTCAATGCAGCTTGATGCTTTGAACATGGGTTTGACAGTTCTGCCACATTATTTGTAAAGCAATGATTTTTGCTTTTAATTTGTATTAGCTACATAGAATAGCTGGGGTTACAATATAATTAAAGATATAGAACTCTAATAATTGTAGACTAGAGATCATCAGAGTCTGATCCTGCATCTTCTTATCTAACTTACCATTTGCATCATTAGAAGTCAAAGTTAAGAAACTTCTCTATTTTTATGTTATAAGTACAACTATTGGTGAAAATTAGTAGGCATGTTTGACCTGATCAAGTTATAAGAGCAAGTAAAACTGAGAAGCCAATCAAAGGACCATTGATGTTCATTAGATAATATGACAAACATGAAATTTCTTATTTCAGAAAATGAATTTATTATCAGTATCTGCATTACATGGCATTTACAAATAATTGAAGATACGTTATGATAATCTAGAAATATTTCTCTTTATTTGTATATAAGGAAAATCAAAACTTAAGAATAGTAAAGCTGAATTGACAAAAGTATAAAAAAAGAGGGGGGAAAAAAGCATGTTGGAAGCTGGAAGTGGTGGCGCACACCTGTAATCCCAGAAACTCAGAAGGCTGAGGCAGGAGGATTGCAAATTTGAGTCTTTCTCAGCAATGAAGTGAGACCTTAAACAACTTAGTGAGAACTTGTTTCAAAATAGAAAAAAATTAAAAGTAAAAAGGGCTGGGGATGAAGTTCAGCAGTAAAGAATTTCTGGGTTCAATACCCAGGATAAGAAACAAACAAACAAATACAAAAACAATGTGATAGGAAAAACAATAATGCAATTTGTGTTAGTTTTTAAAGTAGAACAATGGAAACTGAGGACAGACATTCTATATTTTGCCATTCACATCTTCTTTTATTCTTCAACAGAAATAAAGAGGATCCTTATTTTTTAGGTTAACATAACCTAATAATTTCAAATAAGCGATTGCTTCAGGAGCAATATTTTCACTATTCGTTTATATTCAGGATACTTGTTCAATATCTGGTGTTACTGGGCTTGATATGCTACATACTGAAATTGTGTTTAGGACCCATATAAATATCAATTTTGCCCCAGAGTTATGTCCAGTGATTGGATGAAGAAATCAAAATATACTAGTACCACTTCTATATTAATCTAGTAAATAAAGTGACTAGGTAACTTTTCCATTTTCTTCATACATTACAAAAAATGAATTTTCTCAGAAAATAGAGAAATATTGTTAAAATAATCACCACTATACCAGATATCTGTGAATAATAGTTTATCACACAGCAAATATCTCAAAAGTACTCTAAAAATTGTAAACTAAATAGCAAAAAGAGTCAAAATATTTTGATCATAGTAATACTTTGAAGCAACAAATAGTATTGAAGGAAACATGGGGAAAAATCAGTACTTTTCAATAGGTAGAAAAACACTGGCATATCTCTAAGTGTGGTCCTTGGAGTAGAATTTCCCTTTGGAAGGGAAACATTCCAACAATACCCAGCAATCACTGAATTTACTCAGAAAACTGTGTCCAATTAGAAGAGGAGCATTGGGTAGTCTGATTCTATACTCTCGGAAGACTTAGTTTCTGTTTCTCTGAAGGTATAGAATTGGTCTGAGATACATTATCAAGTGAGAAAGCACAGAATAAGTTCAAGTCCTATGCTAAAACCTCTGCTGCACAGAAAATCCATATGGAATCTGGGCCTTGTCAATGTTTCTTGGCCCTAGGCATAGTGAGATATTCAAATCATAAAATATCAATCATTTGAAAGACTAGTTGAGGGGACGATGCATAAACTTAGATTTTCAAAATCCCACTTTATTTAAAGGTCTCAGAGAAAAGCACAATTTGTAGTGTTATTTGGATTAAATTTCTCAAATATATTTGTTTAAAAACAGTTCTTGTGTATGCTGTTTAATATTAAAGGTAAAGTTATAGTTAGAGAAGATAGTCTTAAGATATGTATAAAATATTTTTGATACTTATAATTAGATTTAGTAATCTGGGAGGGAGATATTTAAACCAATTTACAATATTTAGAATCTAGAAACCAACTTTAATCTTTATGGCCTTCTTCATGTTGCATATAGTCTAAAATGCATTTAGGTGAGTCATATTTTAGAATAATTATTTTCCAAATTGCAATTTGACTTTCTTTTTCTTTGACCTCTTAGACCTCTTTTCCTGTGAATCTGAATTTAAAGATGAGAGATGTCTTATTGTTGTCCTTTAAGTCAGATGAGAATTCTAGCATAGGAAGAAGAGGATCAAGAAAAAGATGAATGAACAAAAGAGAAAGTGGGAAGAAATGATTAAGTACACATCTGTAACTTCCTAGTTGTAAACTGATAAAAATGGCCCACTTGCATAAAAGAAAAATGGCTAAACATAATTATTGAATGGTAAGTGTGCCTTTTAGATTTTTGAAAATTCAAATGACTTTTCCAGCAATTTATGTTTCTAAAATCTTAAATTGATCTTAAGAATAAAATGTTCTATGTATAAGGGCTTAAAACCAGCTGGAAATGCATTGCCAAAAAGAACTCCAGAAATAAAAGTTACTAAAAGTTACACTCAAGGAACAATAAAGTTTTTAATAAAATGACTATTAAGTAGATTGCTTTTGAGTGTTACAATCACATAGAATATAAAAAGAACAAAACTGATTCTGCAGGAAGGAATTCTGAGTGGGCAGGTCTAGGTTCTGGACTTCCTTCCGGCACCACTTCTACGTAATTCTCTGAGTGAACGTACCCACACAAGTGTGCCTTAATTTCCTCAGCATTACAATCAGAG